TCTAGCGAAAAACAAATCTTAGTAATTCATTGGATAGGATGGCGGAATAAACCAGAAACTTTATTATCTATTCTGATTTTGATTCTGAGACCTCGTGGGATAAACATCAAACTTAAATAGATATTGAAAGAGTAAATATTCGCCGGCGAAAAATTTGTGTGTTTTTTTTTTTAAGTAATAAAATACGAAAAAAAAAAAAAAAAATGAAAAAGAGAAAAGAAAATAAGGATTTGTTAGAATATTCTAACTATAAAACAAAAACTACATTCGAGATTCTGATATTACGTTATTTTGAAATAAATAGAAATAGAATTCATCTTGGATTCCAGTTCGGAAAAAAACATACACAAACTTAGAAGAGATTATATGAAATTTCAAAAAATACCATGATTAATAGGATTAATCAGTAAACTACATCTATATCTTGTTCTTAATACAAACGTTTTTAGTCCTTTTATTCGCGAGGAGCTGTATGAGAAGAAACTCTCACGTTCAGTTCTGTAGTAGAGATGGAATTTCTAATTTATAGAAAAAACCCATCAACTATAACCCAAAAAGAACCAGATTTCGTAAACAACACCGAGGAAGACTAAAAGGAATATCTTCTCGTGGGAATCGTATTTGTTTTGGCAGATATGCTCTTCAAACCCTTGAACCGGCTTGGATCACATCTAGACAAATAGAAGCGGGGCGGCGAGCAATGACACGAAATGTACGACGTGGTGGAAAAATTTGGGTCCGTATATTTCCAGACAAACCAGTTACAGTAAGACCGGCGGAAACGCGTATGGGTTCTGGGAAAGGATCCCCAGAGTATTGGGTAGCTGTGGTTAAACCAGGTAAAATCCTTTATGAAATGGGTGGTGTACCCGAAAATATAGCCAGAAAAGCGATTTCAATAGCGGCATCAAAAATGCCTATAAAAACCCAATTCATTATTTCTGAATAGGAATATAGAATGAAAAAGCTAAATAACATTTCAGGATAAAAAGGTTATAAGTTTTTTTTTTTTTTTTTTTTGACAAACAATATTTTTTTACTTCGTCCTTTGCATTAAAAGAAGAGATACAAAAAAATGATATGATTCAACCACAAACCTATTTGAATGTAGCAGACAACAGCGGGGCTCGAGAATTGATGTGTATTCGAATAATAGGAGCTAGTAATCGCCGATATGCTCATATTGGTGACGTTATTGTTGCTGTAATCAAGGAAGCAATACCAAATACTCCTCTAGAAAGATCAGAAGTGATTAGAGCTGTAATTGTACGTACTTGTAAAGAACTCAAACGTAACAATGGGACGATAATACGATATGATGACAATGCCGCAGTTGTCATTGATCAAGAAGGAAATCCAAAAGGAACTCGAGTTTTTGGGGCAATCCCCCGGGAATTGAGACAATTAAACTTTACTAAAATAGTTTCATTAGCTCCTGAGGTATTATAAGACCTAAATATCAATAATTAGTATTAGTATAGGAGAGGATTAAAAAATGGTAGGTATTAACAGAAAATTAATTAATAGATTGTGTATCACGGATATACCCTTAATAATAAAATATTAATAATTTAATTCAGATATATATAATTCGTCTATATCTATATATAAATAAAAGAAAAAGAACATGTTGATTATATCAAAATTATAGAACAAAAAAATAAGGAATTTGAACTTATCATGGGAAAAGACACTATTGCTGATATAATAACCTCTATACGAAATGCTGACATGAATAGAAAAGGAACGGTTCGGATAAGATCAACTAACATCACCGAAAGCATTGTTCAAATACTTTTACGAGAGGGTTTTATCGAAAACGTAAGGAAACATCGCGAAAACAACCAATATTTTTTGATTTTAACCCTAAGACATAAACGAAATAAGAAAGAATCCTATAAAAGATTTTTAAATTTAAAGCGAATAAGTCGACCGGGTCTACGAATCTATTCTAACTCTCAACGAATTCCACGGATTTTAGGTGGAATAGGAATTGTAATCCTTTCGACTTCTCAAGGTATAATGACAGACCGAGAAGCTCGACAAAAAAGAATCGGCGGAGAAATTTTGTGTTATATATGGTAATCCTTCGAATACAAAAATCGGATATGCGGAACTTACCATTTGTGAAAAAAAAAAGTTTAGAATGTTCTACCTCGAATAAAATTAAAGAAAAAATGAATTAATGAAAGTTTTCTTTCTGAATCACTTCCGAACGGCATGCTCGGTTTTGTTTAGATACTAAAGATTTTTTTGATTTTAGGTCATGCTTCTAAAAGGATTCGACATATTTTTGTATAGGTATACCTATAGGAAAAGGATAGTAAAAATTTTAGTAAGTTCTTAGGTACTTAGGTATAAGTTAATAAAGGGACAGCCATTTTCTAGACTCCATAACAAGGATTCAAACGAGCAAGTGGTTTTTTCAATTTCAACATTCCTTTCACGACGATACAATTCAAGATTCAAAAATATCAAGAAACCTTTTTTTCGTCCAACA